CGGGGGGGGGGGTTGGTTTTGGAAACGTTGACTCTTTAGCGGTGAAGGAAGAAATGCTTTCAGCGTTGATTCCAAACGTCGATCGGGGGGGGGAGGGGGGAACCCAGTGAATAGTTACTGTAACATTGGTTTTCAGTGCAAGAATTATGTTTGCTTGATTTTTTTTTGTTTTATTTTTCCCAATGAGGTAAGCTTTGGCTACTTCAGGTTTCGCTAATGCCCCTACGTGCGTGTTACAGTAGGGTGCTAGTCCAGCAGCAGCAGCAGCACCTGTGATATTTAAATGCCGAGAAGTTACTTCTGTGTGAAAGTCACGATGGTAACGGTGCAGAACTGCTGCTTCTTATCTCAGCTTTATTAGTCTGTGCTATTATTTTCCTTTCCAAAGGTATTGCGTGCGTTTTACCAGTGCAGCACATGCTTGTTAATAGCCTTTCTAGAAGAGGCATCGCGAACAATGGTTTAAATGCTACGCTCTGTCACTTTTGTGTGCGTTTATGAAATAATCTGCCTTGTTTTAATTTAGATTATGTAGACAAGCCCTTGGAAAAACCTTTAAAGCTGGTGCTTAAAGTTGGAGGAAGTGAAGTGACTGAACTTTCCGGATCAGGGCATGATTCTAGTTACTATGATGATAGATCAGATCATGAGCGAGAACGACATAAAGAAAAGAAGAAAAAAAAGAAAAAAAAGTCAGAGAAGGAGAAAGAAAAGCATCTTGATGATGAGGAAAGAAGAAAGAGAAAGGTAAGCTGTGATTTTTAGAATTCAGAGGTACTAGTCATTTTCATGCTTGCTTATCAGGTATAAATTCTGGTGCAGAGGACAGGAAACCATTTTTTAAAATCAAAATATTGCAGGAAGCGCGTTGTTTGGAGGCACTTCAAAAATGCAGAAAGCCACCTGGGTGTGCTGGTTTGTTGGTGTATTTCTTCCATGTAAAAGAGAGCTTCATATGATGATTTGTTGAATAACGCTTATTTCTTGTAAGAGCTGTTTCTCCTGTCAGTTTGTCTTGTCTGTAGTTTTGAATAGTTCTGCTTTCTTAAGGATGATATTTTGTGTTTCAGCCAGATTAGGAACCTGTTTTGCCACCCTGTGAGGAGGATATTTCCAGCTTTTCAAATAAATCTAGAATGCATTTCTGTTCTTGAGATGTGCTGAGTTATAGGTCATTGAAACTGCTCTTTTTACTCAAACTAGCTTTCTGAAATCTAATCTGTCAGGTACTGTGATAGTTTAGAAGTTGGAATGAAATCTGAGACAACTATATTGTCAAAGCCTTCTCTATAAAGTTTAACTTTAGTAATGCTACTTTATTTGTTAATGTTTCTTTGACGTCTTTACTTTTTAAATTCTCTTCTGCCATGTAATTTTGTTGTTCTGATCAGTATAATATCTGACAGTTTTTCAGCACTGTGTTGTTTGTGTATATGTGGCTAACAGCTGTCATTTCAAATTGATTTCTTTTTCAGGCTTGGTTTACTTGAAAGTGATACGCTTTGTAGGACCGTTCAGAACCTCTTGAAAACAGGACAAACAGTGGAAATTGTTCTTTTTACAGACACTTTCAAATATTTCAGAGTATAGCTGGGCGCTGAAATGTGGCAAAATAATTGCTGTTAAGACAAAATAAGTGCCTTTTAGCATCAAAAAAATCACTTATCTTTGTCTTTGCTAAATTGGTGGCTTTTCCAGAACTTCATTATTAGTGTACACAGAAGAACCTAACGAGTAGATTGGTAGGAAAACTGTAATCTAAACATGGTTAATGAGAGTGTGCTATGCTGCGCAAACATGCATAATTGCGATAAGATTATAGGAATGACTTAAGGCAATCTTAGGTTTGAAGCCCGGGAAGACATCATTAATTTCCGTCACTGTTACAGAGTATTCTTCATGATTCTTGTGCGGGCTTCCTGAATTGTCACATACTTTATTCAATCCTGTTTGATACACCAAACAGTGATGATCAAATGCGAGCTGGAGACTCTTCTTTACTGTGTAATAAATTCCTTGTTTGTTCACTAGTATAGCTTGTAATTATCATGCAGTTTTTCAGGTAAATAGCTACAAAGTAAAACATTTTTTTCAGCAAAAGTAGAGCAGCTAATCAGTAGTAGTGATTATGAACAGTAGTACATGAACAGTAGTACATGAAATACAAAAAGGCCAAAAAATAAATTGAATTATTTTTAGTAAGAGAGGAAAAGAATGAAATAGAGACAGTCAAAATGCACGCACTGTTGTTTAAACCACATTGTAACATATTGCGGCTTGGATATAGCTTAAGTATTCCAAATGAAAAATCAGTCTTATATTTTGGTATGTAGAATTGTACATTCCAAGTACATTCTTTTAAAATTTATCTTCTTTCTGGTGTGCTAGGAAGAGAAAAAGAGGAAAAGGGAAAAAGAGCAGTGTGACACTGAAGGAGAAACTGATGACTTTGATCCCGGAAAAAAGGTGGAGGTTGAGCCTCCTCCAGACCGTCCTGTCCGAGCATGCAGAACTCAGCCAGGTGAGCAACGTGGAAAAATTGAAATTATCTAGGGTATTTTTAAAAGCACCTGCAACAAACTTAGTGACCTTTTGTCAAGGTACCAGAGTGTACAATTTTCATGAGAATTTTCTGATATCCAGAGACTTAAGCAGAAAGTTTTGAATATTGGAAATGCTGTCTGAAAATCAGTATTCCTCTTGGTGCTTGTGTGCTTCAGTGTACATGTTCATGTACTACTTAGAAATTTTGTCTCTTTAGATGTCGTGCTTGCTTAGGGTTGCTTGTTTAAATCTAGAACAACTATGCCAATTATAAAAGTTAAAATGCTTTTTCAAAATTTGACCTGCAGTATTTGAGCTGCCAAGTCTCACTTCTCCTGTTAGAACAGATTACAAAAAATTACAGTTTAAGGCTACGCCTGATTTAATGTAGGCCAATTTTTAATTTAGTGTGATTAAAACTAGGTAAGTAATAAAGGAGAAGAAATAGTTACTGTATGCTTAAAAAGAGATTTGCCTGATCCATATCTCATTAACCTTCAGGTGAATACAAGTTCCTATTTTCCCTTTGGTATTGGTACTATAGATAGATAGTTATATCTATTTCATTGCACTTTACCTGTGTTTTCATCTCAAATTGCAGCTGAAAATGAGAGCACACCCATCCAACAATTACTAGAACACTTCCTTCGCCAGCTTCAAAGGTATTTGAGCATACTGTATCAACAGGTGTATGGACAGTGTCTTTAGAACTTCTTAATCTGCTTTTCTGTTTCAAAATGGTGTATAAGAACTGATTATAATATGGATGGTAACCTTTGCAACCACATCAAATCTTGTATTTTTAGACTCGTTGAGGAAAATTATTGCCAACTATGCAATCCTGGCTTTTTGGGGAGGGTGAGGAGGCCTGCTGTTACATATTTACTAAATATTGATAACTTAGTTCAGGAATTTAGAAACAACTATGAATTTTGTTAACCTAAAAGATGAAACAGTTCTCGTGAATTTTTATCCTATTATGTGTCCTATGTCAGGTGCCAAGTCAAGTTTGTACCTGCGCACCTGCTAATCCACTAATTTGGAGAGGCTTTTTATTTTATTGTTTTCCATAAAATGTTAACCCTGTAGCTTTTTTTTTTTTTAATTCCTGAAACCTTTCATTTTCCTTTTCTTATTCTATAGCAATAAGCTGAATTTGGAACTAATTCTAAAATATTAAGCTTGCACATTTATTTTAAGAGGACAAAACCCTAATGAACAAGAAGATTGGAAGAGGTTATTACTCAGAGAAGCCAAAAGACCCATTTGGAGTGTAAATGGAGATGCAGAAGGCATACAAGACAGTTTCAAGACCTTGTTGAATCTGTCTTCAAAAAGTCTACTTATTAGTCAAAATTCTCTCTTCTATCAGGAAACTTTTCAAATATTCTTCTATTTTGTGAAAATGTTCTTAGTGCTTTTTTTTAAACTAGGACTATTCATTTTATGCTTTTAGTATGGTATAAAGCAATGATCTTTTTTTTCCTGAACATAAATCTAAATGTAATTTTTTTAATTTATTTTTAGGAAAGATCCTCATGGATTTTTTGCTTTTCCAGTCACGGATGCCATTGCTCCTGGATATTCAATGATCATAAAACACCCCATGGATTTTGGTACTATGAAGGAAAAAATTGCAGCAAATGAATACAAATCAGTCACTGAATTCAAGGTGAATTGATAGAGATTCACTACTTCAGACCACTTTTTGTAGGAGACCAAAGATTAATTTTAACTTTAAAATAATTCATGTAGGAAAGGCTTCTAATGTGCATTTGTTCAGAACTTAACACCGCTGTACGTTCTGCCTATGAGAATGGGTTTCTTGCTTTGTTTTTCACTCTAGAAGCTTTATATTTGTCAGTCTGCTATTCTATTACAATCATCCAAATTATTGTGGAAACTAAGAATGTGTGCTAAAGTTCTACTATGAAATTCATGTTGCTACACATAAGCACGTGAGTAGGCATATCACAGGCACTTGAGCCATTTTGAGGGTCCTGGAATTCCATAAATTTTTTTTTGGGGGGGGGCTTCATTAGGTTGATTATATGGCTATTTTGACATGTCTGCAAGAAAACTGTGGAGATATTGAAGCACTTTTGTATAAGAGTAAAAAAAAAAGTTGTATTTTACAGTGTAGTTATTGTTTCTTAGATTATCCTGTTTTCCATGTAACTTTGTTTGGAATGGTCTTTTGGCAAAATCTTATTTGGCAACTGGCCTTAGCTATTTTGGCTTTAATACTGTACTGGGTGCGTTGTGGTTTTACAGACAGTAAAGTAAGAAGTGTCGTATTGCCTGAACCATGAAGGACAGGATATTTTTAATTTAATTTATTTTATTTTATTTTTCTGAACAGATTTATATAGTTCTCATAGCTGTCTTCAGTATTACTGTTTTCTAGGGTTTTGTTGATGTAACAGTAGACTTGGCAGAGTGTTGGCTTGCTTCTCAGTGGTTTATTTCTTCTTTTGAAAGGTCCAGCAAGGTGAGCAAAGAATGGCTTATGTTTACTACAGGTTCTTTGACAAGGATTAGTCTCTTCTGTTACATCTCTTTTATTTGCCAAAAAAGGCATGGAGTTTTATAGGAAATAGTAAGTAAAGTTCATATAGCGTTACTGTCAGAAATTTTGGTTTACTTAAATTCTTTTGACTTTTTGGATTGTCTTATCCAGCGACTTCAAAAGCAGGTTTGAATGTCACGTCAGCGGCTATATATAGATACAGGCAAGGTTGAGATGCAGCCAGACTTGAGATAGTGATCAGAAGTTGGTGTGAGCAACCCAGAAAAATGAAAATCACAGTATTTGAAAATTAACAGATTATATTTGTTCAGAGGACTTGATTTCTTCTGATACTTTGAGGAGCAATAACTGGTTGCTAAAAGTCTGTCCATCTTATGCTAATGAAGAGGTTAGATTCCTGTTCTAGGGGTGTAAGTGTCCCTTATTGTGCTCATGTCTTTGTAATCTGTAATATAGAAATGAAGCTTTCATTTCTATACACAAGTTGTGGACCCCTAAAACGAGTCCAGCTCAGAGGATTGATCCTTTACATCTGATATACCTGTTACAATTAGCTGAGGCTAGTCACGACCCAGTAAATTTAACGAGAATCCGTAAGAACCTTGTGTTGCATTTAGAAGGGGGAAATCACTGCAAAAAACCCATCAGTTTTGCTGCTCACAAAAGCTGAGCAAGTAGAACACTTCTCTGTCCTTCTCTGCAGTGCCTCAAAGGCCATTAGTAGCTTCCCTGAGCTTCTTTATCGGCTTCTTGGCTCATAGTTTGGTGCTTCTCCGCACTGCTTTCCCAGTTTTTGTTGTTGTCTCCTTAAGTGAAGGTGGATGACTTAAATGCCACAGGAAGTCACAGCCTAGCAATTGTTAACTCTGCCCATCTATTTGCTTAGTATGGGCCTGATGGCAACCACTAAACTGCTAGATGACTAGGAGAATCACAGAATCATTTAGGTTGGAAGGGACCTCTGGAGATCATCGAGTCCAACCCCCCAGCTCGAGCAGGGACCTCTAGAGCATATTGCCCAGGATCACATCCAGGCGGGTTTTGAATATCTCCAGCGAAGGAGACTCCACTACCTCTCTGGGCAACCTGTTCCAATGCTCTGTCACCCTCACAGCGAAGAAGTTTTTCCTCAGGTTCAGATGGAACTTCCTGTGGTTCAGTTTGTGCCCGTTGCCTCTTGTCCTGTTGCTGGGCACCACGGAGAAGAGCCTGGCCCCATCCTCTTGACACCCTCCCTTCAGATATTTGTACACATTGATGAGATCGCCTCTCAATCTTCTCTTCTCCAGGCTGAACAGGCCCAGCTCTTGCAGTCTTTCTTCATAGGAGAGGTGCTCCAGCCCTCTAATCATCTTGGTAGCCCTCCGCTGGACTCTCTCCAGGAGTGCCATGAATGCTGGCTAGAATGCTGTTCTGACATCCCTGTATCAGAACAGGAAATTAAAAACCAAACACGTTTACACTGACTAGAATAAAGGCATTCAAAAAAAAAAAAAACTTCTCCGATCAGAATAAAATTTCTAGTTCAGTTTACAGTGGAGTGTCTTGCAGCTTTATTTTGGCAACTTGCATCAAAAAAAATTATTTTAAGTTAATAGATATGAAAGGAGACCATTTAAAGGAAAAGACAAAATCAGGCATGCTTTTTTGCCCTTTGCATGCAAGGAGCAACTGGAAGGCTGTTTCTTATTTTTTTTGGTGTTTCCTACCTTTTTTCCTTCATTCTTTTGGGTGCAAGTGACTGAAGAAGTGGTCAAAATGCTACAACTGAAATTACATGCATCTTGTATCTTTTTAATGTCTTTTGTATTTCTTCACTTTCTTTCAATTTAAAAGATGGGAAAAACACCAAAAGAGTAATTATCTCGGTCCGACGGTCCGACAGTCCTCCAGTTGATTTCTCTACTTTTTCTATTCCAATCTTTTGCAGGAGGAGGAAGTGTTACGTATGGTATTCAGGAAAATGTTGTTTATATACAATGAAAAAAGTCCCAAGCAAAACTGAGCATTATGAAGAAGCAAAAAGGGCTCAAACCTTTACAAGTCGGTCTTACCTTTTAGCTTGTGTTTGCTCCGTGACCCTTTGTTAGCGTTGTTAAAATATTGTGGTTAATATTGATGGAATGGTATCTACTAGTCACTTAACAAAGGAATTGGAAGTTTTACTGGTTCTTTCTTTCTGTATTTTACAGGCAGATTTTAAACTGATGTGTGATAATGCAATGACATACAACAGACCGGATACTGTTTACTACAAGCTAGCCAAGAAGATACTGCACACAGGCTTTAAGATGATGAGCAAAGTAAGAGACCTATTAAAAACAAAAAGCAGAAAAGTAGGGTTTTGGAGGGGGGTCAAATTTGAAAGAAATGTAATTAATAAAAGTGATAAGCATTATTTCATCCATCTGTCATTAACTGTGGCAGCGCCCTTTAGTGCTGCTATATTTAAGGGCTTGATAGCATTCAAGTTACAACTGCCCCCTTATTTCTCAACCTGATCTGCACCACTGAAGTCTGCATGAGCTTCTTCTACCTGCTTCAATGGAAGCAATTAAGATCCAGGTATATAAAACCCAACTGTAAAGCATTGCTTCTGGCTGAAACATTGAAAAAAAATCTCACTTCAGAAGCAAGTTTTATTTATCCCATTAATAAAAGAGCTTGTCTTTTTTGAAGGGAGCGGGGGAGAGAAGATAATAGGTTTGGGGGGTTACACGCACATAGACTTTTCACTCGTGTACTGTTGTTAGTCTGTAAAACAGTTGTTTTTATGAGCTACTGCATGTGGCATGTATGTGTGTGTTGCAGTTCTGTTGTGGTAAGTCTTGTCTAAAATAGGCGGCTGTCTTTGCACATGCAGTTTTTTTTTGTTTGTTTCTCTCTTGATAGTTGGGCTGCAGAAATTCTGATGCCATGCTACCATGACCAAATCATGTTGCATCGCCATTGGAAACGAGGCATTAGGAACAAAATAAGGCCATGGCCATTCCCATCCCATCCCATTATCATAGCATCTTGGCTATGAGGGAAAGGTTAAGTCCCTGCCGCTCTGTCCTTTCTGATTCTAGGAACGGCTGTTAGCTTTGAAGCGCAGCATGTCGTTTATGCAGGACATGGATTTTTCTCAGCAGGCAGCTCTTTTGGGTGATGAAGACACAGCAGTTGAGGAACCTGTCCCTGAAGTTGTTCCTGTACAAGCAGAGACTACCAAGAAATCCAAAAAGCAAAATAAAGAAGTTATTAGGTAAAGGTTTTAATGGGCGTGCTTGCTGGTTTGTTGCACCTTTTCTATTATCAGACAGCAGCAAAGGACTGAAGAAAAAAAAAAAAAGGAAAAAAAAAGAAGAAAAAAAGAAAAGAAATCACCTTGCGGCCTTTTTTCTTACCATAGAGTAAATGAGCATTGTGACTTTTTTAGGTATTTAACATTCTAGTAATTCCCAACTTGAAACAAACAATTCAAGGAATGACTGCATGTTCTTTTAAACTTACTATTTACATATGTGTCCATTTTTTTTTTTCCTTCTCTATACCGTATAAAATAATAAGCAGTTTCTTTTGACGATGATTTTAAATATTCTTTCATTTTTAACAGAACCACAAATGTGTTTTATCATAACTTTATTTTTGACTTGGAAGTTGTGGTTAGTGTCAAACTTAATGGAAAACTATTGTGTATTCCATTTTTTTAATGTATTGCCTAGCTGTAGCAAAATCTGAACAGGACCTTTACTGGAAGCAAAGTAGCCCAAATCAGTAAATGATTTTTCTTTAACTGAAGTCTTGTCTGGCACATATAGGGATATAGGAGTTTCTTTCTAGAGCAGATGGTATGTTCCCAGTGAAATCTTACTAAGTTTCTGTGTAATATAGATTATTAGTTCGATGGCTGTCTTCTAGCAACATGCACCCTCTTGTCACAAAATCATATATTGATAGCTAAAACTTAATTTTGGAAAATGAAAGGGACTTTATTTTCTATTTTATATAGAAGGTTTTTTTTTTTTACAGCAGCATTAAAAGAAAACAGTAGCAGAAACTATGATTTACAAGGGAACTATCCTATTCAGTGAATGTCATCTTTACATAGATGTCCTAAATGTTAAATTTAAATTGTAGAGCATTATATCAACTAGAATTTAATTGACACTTTTTATAAAAAAACAAAAAAAACAAAAAAACCCACAAATAAACTATAATAGAGTGTCACTAGTCATATTTTAAATAATTTGGCCATATAAACATATCCTGCAAGCTTCTGTCTTCAACATCCAAAGTGAACAGTGAAACGTGATTTCTTATTTCAAATTTATGCTCTTTCATTCTAATCAGCCACATATTTTTGTTGCAGGTTAAGGATCTTGTGGCTGATGGAATAAGTAATGTTTTGAAGTATTTTTGTGGAAGTAGAAGACAGTAGCGTACTTCAAAAAAAAAAAAATTCCAAACTGTTTGAGTATTTTTTTTTTTTTGACTGCAGCTGCTCTGCTGTCGCCATACAGAAACATAGCTGCCACTGTTTTACTGGCAATTATCAAAATCTAATTCTTTCTTTGTTTAATGGGTTGTATATAGAATTAATTGAAAGTACCTTTTCGTTCATGGGACTTCAGACTTTGATATAGGGTTTTTTGGTTTGTTTATTTTTGTTGGTGGTGTTTTTTTTAAGATATAATGTGGTTTATGTGGTACCCAGAACAATAGGTTTTCTTTTCTGAGTAATCCTTAAGTAACCTCCGTTATAGAAGTAACTTGGTACTTTGCCACCCTTCATGTGCTCATCTTCAAATACAGGTAGTTAACAGAGCAAGGAATTGAGGCTGCAAGCAATGTATTACTGCTCCTGTCTTTAAGATCTAACTTACTGTACAGTCAGACAGCTAAGAATTACTGACCTTTAATTCTATTCTGATACTCAGTTTTGGGGGGATGAATTTAGAAGCAGCTTTTACTTTCCTGTTCTCGTCAATGTTTATATATTTTTAGTACTTTTAATTATTTTGTCTTTCTAAGTAAGTTGACATTTTAAAAACTTGAATTTTGGCTCTAGTAGGATAGTTATTATTCTTTTTGATGTACAGTAAGAGTTTAGGGGGAGAATCAGTCCTAAAGGCAGGTATTTTTTGCCTCCATAACTCACAGCTCAAAACTGAGGAAGGGCTGAAATTGACGTTTTTAAGAAGTATTAAAGAAGTGTGGACCTCTATGTTAAAGTTTAAGTAGTGACTTGATCATATAGACATCTTAATATCTAACCCATTTTTTCAAAATTTCATCCAAGATGCTGCACCCTTCTGAACATTCATTCAATTCTTGCTCATTGTGTAGTGTAGAATGCAATAGAAAGAGGCAGTTGTTCCAGAGTTCTCAGTTGTATGCATATTTTCTTAAAGCGTCAGTGGAACAAAAATCTTTGAAGATGTTTTTCTCGTCGTAGTGTGACCCTGTCATCTTTTTATTATCTTTAATAGCAAAACTTCTTTTGCGTCAGATCTGACTCTCTGTATGGAGAGAAATTCTTAACTAAGCAAATGGAAGAAAGTACCAGCACCTAAGGTGTTTGGCTCCTGGTGCCTAATGTCCATAGAATGCACTGACAAATTTTAATGTAAGCTTCTTTTAAATATAAAATATAATAAAGACTGCCACATCCTACTAGTATCTTCACATTTCTCTTTATAATACTACCTTTCTCCATGTTTTTATATAATAGCTAAAATGCATCATAGTCCATTTCAGGCGTGTTTACAGTTGTTACGTTTTTATTGTTTTATGTACCTTAATGAAAAGGGATCTACTGAAAGATAATGAATTCTGTAACTTCAGTGAGAAAGAAGAATTGTGTGATTTGATACTGATTAGGATTCTGTTACCAATATTAACAAACATAGGAATTAAAGGACTCTCTTGCTGAGAGCAGTTTCCTGCTTTTTACAAGCAATTAAATCACATAATCCTCAGAGCGCAGCCTGCTTATTCTAGGTTTAAAGTTACAGTCTCCATTCCCTGATTATGTAGTTTCTTTTCTGCATCTTTCTACTTGGAATCTACCAAATTGATATTCACCTTGTTTTAATGCAATTTTATGGCCAGTCTCAGCTTTGAGGTACTTTCATCACGATATAGAGACAATTAAATTTTAAGATTAAGTAGTTGTCAAGTTCTCTGCTTCTGCTGGAAAACTTCAGCACTAGGGTGCAATTTTAATCATGTTGTGAAACTTAAGTGAAATGACACTGAGAGAGGAGTGGGACTGATTGTGTTACTTAGTGGAAACCCCAGAATTCGGTGCTTTGTTTTGTTTCGTCTTTTGGTTTCTAAAACTACTACTCTTTTCTTTCTTTAGTTGCATATTTGAACCTGAGGGAAATGCATGCAGCCTGACAGATAGCACTGCTGAAGAACATGTCCTGGCACTAGTGGAACATGCAGCAGATGAAGCTCGGGATAGGATCAGTCGATATCTACCCAACAGCAAGGTCCACTGCATGATCAAGTTCACAATTCTATGTTGTGTCTGACTTTTGAATACTGTTTGTTTCATCATAAGAAACAGGTTTAAGTGTTCATTATCTAAGAAATGTTGCATCCAGGCAGGCTAATTTGTGCTCTGTGTGGAATATGAAGATGACTATTGTCTGTCATTTAGTTCCCATTGAAGCCCATTTTAGGGTGATATACAAATATTGTGTAAACATATTTGGAAATTCACCTACAGAAAACAGTGAAATGTTGCCCAGGCTTTGCTCTGGCTTCCTTAATTGCAGCCCTTAGGATTAAAAGTGGTTAAAATAGCATCGCACTCTCTTATTGTTGCAACTTTAGAAGGAAAGCAAGCTTGAGCGTAGGTTGAAAGGTTATTACTGTTCCTCCCTGCTGCAACAGAAGTCAGCACTTAGAGTTCTTTGACTTAACTGTTTTCTGTGAAAAGTTCATATCCTCCTCATTCTGAACCCCTGTTAGTTTTGTACCAGCCAGCAGTAGCTGTCAAATATAGCACATTCTTGTGTGAGTACAAAATACAAAGATCCTTCAGTAACTAGGAGCAGATAGCAGTGGTTTGTCTATATAAAGAGTTTTGGAGGGCTCTAACTACAGGTTAGGAGATCTCGAACATGATTCTGATGCGTACGTTCCATGCATTTGATTTTGCAGTATTACAAGAGTTGGAAAGAAAAGTTCAGTGATGCTGTCGATACAGTTTCCTCAGCATGCCCTGTTTATGGGCTGAATTTTTTGTAGCTATCTAGTAATTATAGTTTCTTTCTAGATTGCGTGAATGCTACAACAGGCATATGCTAAGGTGCATGTTACTCTGTTTCCTTTGCATCAGATGGAAGCTTATCACCACCGTTAAACTTTGGTTTCATTTCTATTCTGTCACACTCTAGTGACCACCTCAGTCAAAAAAGGTTCAAGATGTTGCTGCGTCCTCCATTTTCCACCTATTTTTTTAACCACTGTTGCAGAAGAAAACATTTGCTTTAAAACATTAGTGGTAGCAGCTCTATCTACAAATTTAAATGTCTTAGGATCAGCTGAATTAGAAAATAAATCCCCAAAGAGTGATGGAAGAAGGCTTAGCTCTTTCAAGGTATTTCTGCTTCTTTGGGTAATTAGAAGACTTGCTAAGAACCAAGGCTATTTGGAAAACCCCAAGGCAAGAGAGGCTTTTTAAAAACCTTTTGCAATAACCTGTTTGCCTGTTGTACTGATGCATATATACAGCTATGTACCCTCAAATACTGATGTTTTGAAGAGAGTTAATTTAGCAGTTTGTGAGAAAGCAGTGGGATGTTCTACATAGTCTACATGTTAAAATGTTAACATGTAATATGCTAAACATCCAGACAACCCACTGCAGAACCTACTGGATCTAGGTAATACTGGTGCATTCTTAAAAATTCACCTATTGTTAACTTCTGTGTCAGCTGAAAGTATCATTCCTGTTCATCCCTCTTTCAAATGTTTGTCACCTCTTTATTCTAATTATATGCCAATATTAACTTTGGCCTTATATATAGAAACAGTGTTGAACTCCTTAAGAGGAAGAAAAAAAAATATGGGAGAGATTTACTGTTCAATTCATTTGACTGTATTTATCTTTCTCTAGGAAGTCTTTCTTCACCTCTCATCTTCTGTCTCCTTATTGAGAAGAGAATGTTTTGTGTGCTTTGTGTGTAGTCATTTTCTGATAGCAGCTTTTCTGTGGCAACAGTTTGTGGCTCTGTCTTTACAGACTTGTGTGTTCTGTTGTCATCCAGATCTTCGGTTGTCTTTTTACCATCACGTATATGTGGTCTGATTGCTCTGTCGCAGCACTTCTTCCTCATTAAGAATCTGATAGTATGTTCACAAAATTACTTCTAATTAGAGAAAGTTGTGAGTGAGATTTGAAAACGAGCAGTTCAGTCTAGGTTTGGAAGTAAGCAGTGAGATAGATTGCAGATAGGAGTTATGGTTCCGCTTCTCAAAAGCGTATGAGTCTAGAACACATAGGAGTTAACAGGAATTGTTTTTGTCTTGGCTGCAGACTTTAGAGCTGACTTAGGATGAAGGAGGAGTCATACATATGACAGAGAAGCTGTTGCTCAAAAGGTCTTCTGGTTTTAGGTGTTTGCTAGGAGGTGCTAAATGCTTGAGATCCTGGATTCTCTGTGTTAAAAAGGGAATATAGGAATGCAGGACGTGAATTTATCTAAAAATACTTTTTGATGTATGTGCAAGTAAGCTTTTTTTTTCTTTTTTTTTTTTTTTTAGTTTGGACTGTTGTGAATTATGAAAGTGCTTCTGTATCCTTGTGTTTCTGTTTACAGATTGGTTATCTGAAAAAAAATGGAGATGGAACTCTATTATTCAGTGTAGTCAACGCATCTGATCCAGAAGCAGAAGGTAAATGTCTTAAACCTTAAAGAAACCTTTCAAATGGTGTATGTTCTAGCAGATTTTGAAGGCTTATATGTACATACAGATCCTGTGTAGTATAGATGAGTTCTTCTTAAAAAGAAAAAAAAAGGTTTGTATTCCCCCAGCACAGATTTCCTGAACAGCTAGATTTTGTAGCTCCAAAGTGTTCCTCTTGACCTTTCAAGTTTTCACTCTTTTCTTCAGATGCTTCGTTTTACTGAAACTAACAGTATGAAGGTAAAATAGTATCCGTTTATAAGCACTTATATTTTGCTACAACTTTACAGAGAAGTTGGAAGACAGGCTTTTGGTCCAAATTACCTAGAATCTTAAAATCTAATTGACAAAAAGTGAATGAAAGTGCTGTTGTCCTGCCTAAATGTGCAATGTACAGATACAAAAAGAAAGGGGAAAGGTAATTTTGTATATGTGTTTCCTAATTTAAATTATCAGCTAATTTTCTGGTTTACAGGTCTTGCTCAATTGTTTTCCTGTAGTTCCTTAATCTATTTTGTGCATTTTTGTTTGTTTTCCTGCTATGTGTTATTTATCTTATGCTTACTACTCTTTTAAGTCTTGAGCTCAAAATGCAGAAGTCTTGGAAAGTTTGCAATAAATAAAGATGCATATTGTTTATTCGGCTGTATGTCACGTTGATTTTGTACTTCCTCCTCTGCAGCTTTTGAGACTGGAGTTCATTCACAGGTTATCTGTTACTGGGATTGATGAAGGCATGGACCCTTTTGACTAGTCAAACTTGTGTTGTTTTCATTTCGGAGACGGAAACCTGTATCTCAGCTATTGTCTACATTCTTTTTCATTTATTATCTAAGTTTTTGTAGTAAATAGTTCTGAAAATGAAATTGAGTGTTTTGGTTGCCTTCATACAATTACATATTTCTGAACAAATGAAGTAATAAAATGAATGTGATTAATAGCTCTGAAATCATGCCACTATGAAAATTTAGACAGTGATAGTAACAGGAGCAGAATAAGCTTTTGCTGTGTACAGTAAAGTACTAAACTGGTTCCTGATGTTCATGTGCTCCAGAATCTCTCTTATTTGTTTGTCTTTAGTTAATACTAGTTATACTGGATTTACAGCTAACACTATAATTAGAATTTTTGTTGTGATTTTTTTTTTCTTTCTATCCTAGTACAGTTCTATTTTTTTTCTAGAAATTTTACTTTCCGTAGTTTAGATTCGGACACTTCCCGTGGCTCTGTTGCAGAAGTACAGAATTATATTATTTCCATATAAAAGCATAGTCCAAGTGTTATGAGACGCTTTAATTAAACAGTTCTGCAGTACTTTGGAAAGAAAAGAAATATTGCTGCAGCCATAATGGTAATTTACTTATCTTAACAAGATTTTTTTTTTTATTGTTATTGGGTTTTTATAGCCAAACTACTCTTTAGTCAACATAAGAAACTGTTTTTATTGCTTTCCTAATATCTGGATGTTAACTATTTATGAATCAGCTAGTGGAAGAAATTCAGTTGATGCTGTATTCATTAGAAGGGAAATAAATAAGCCATAGGTTTTGTGGTTAAGATATGGAAGCTTAGTTATAATGTGTACTTGAAATTTAAATGGAAAATGTGAACTATTCTTCCTGTAATTTATAAAGCTCTACAGCTTAAAAGCCGTTTTGCTTTCATGGTTAACTATGACTTTGTAAAAGGAGCAACATCCAATATTTGCCATGAATAAATCTTAAAAATACATTTTTTAAAATGACTGTCATGTTTTAAATCAAATTATTACAGAGGAAGAGACTCACCCAGTAGATCTTAGTTCTCTGTCAAGCAAGTTATTACCTGGCTTCACTACATTGGGCTTTAAAGATGAACGAAGAAACAAAGGTAAATGCCAAAGAAAAATGTCTTAAGTTTTGCGTTAATTTAAGTGCTTGAGCAAATTCCAGACATAAAATAATTTCAGATTATACCTGTATCCCAATATTTTTTGAAAAATATTTAATTATTTCCATTCACAGCAGAATGTGATTTTAATTAAATTTACTGTTATGGGTGAGTAAATGTAGCGAGACTGAGTTCATTGGATAATGTTTTGCTGTAATGTTATATCCGCAGTAGAAGCTTTTTAATGAAGCTCCCATATTTGCTGTGGCAGAAAATTTTTGCAGAATGACTACCTTCTTTAGAGCAGAGAACAAACCTTTTGGTCATTGCAATTCTTGTATTGGATGACGTGATTTTCACAAGCTGGAGTGCCATTCTATTAAAACTTGCCTTTTTTATGTTACTACTATAATTTTAATAAATTTGAACTTAATAGTTTCTAACCTACTGTTGTTTAGGACTTAATGCCTTAACCTGCTGAAGTGTTTTTAAATTTCCTGGCTAAATAAGGATTCTGTGTTCCAGTTGACGAATAAAGCTTTGACTTCAGTCTCTGTCTGCTGTCCGAGAACTGATTGGCAAACAGTGAATTAGCCATACACAAAAAGCAGAAATCTATAATTGTTTAAAAAAAAATTTGGTTAGCTTAGTTCTTTATTTTCTGACAGCATAAGTACATTTGTTTATGTACTTGAAATAACTACGCAGTTCTGGAGTCTGGAATTGTCCTTGAAGTATTGCTCTTGAATTCAGTTTAGGTGAGGGGAAGGAAATGGAATAAAATAACAGACTAGTGAAACTTTCCACACCTGCTTCCAAAAACCTTTCCGTTTTCAGTGATTTTTACACTTGTGCTAATCATTTGTCATCTCTTTATTCTAACTGTCTAGTAACCTTTCTTACAAGTGCAAGCACAGCACTTTCCATGCAAAACAACTCTATATTTCATGATCTGAAGTCGGATGAAATGGAACTGCTATACTCAGCCTATGGTGATGAAACTGGGATACAGTGTGCCTTAAGGTAAGTGCTTCGCTATTGGGAGGGCTTTTTTATTGAAGAAAAAGTTACTTCTTTAGTGCTATCTTCACATGGCAATTTTATGAAAAGCAATTTGGAATAAACGTAAAACTAAGAGCCCCCCGTCCTGTTTCTTCTAAAATTTGCCTTAAGAATAACTCACTATAAAGCTTTAAGCTAGGTTTCTTCCTGTTTTTTTTCCCTTCGACATGTGCTCTGTGAAGTTACAGTATTTATCAGAAGGCTGTTACGGATCTTAATAAGGATTACATCTTTGACCACAAGATGTTGCCAGTTGTTGAGATTTTGGATATGCAAGTAACAGATTTCAGTGCCTGAAAAAAGTGGTATCTAATTTTTTTCAGGAGAAAGATTTTAAAGTGAGACCAGTAAGTTGTTCTGAAAGGCTGGTGAATTCCAAGGGGAAGGAGAAAAGCCACTTGCTCTCTTAAGATGCTTTAATGGGAAATTAATTTGACAAAACTGTGTAGTTGTGCTTTTCTGATTTCTCTCTCTTCCTATTCAGTTAAAACTATTGTCTCAAATTGTAGTTGCGCAGACATTTTGTCAACAAAACTTAATGTCCCATAGCAACCATTCAGTTTGTCGCTTTTCTGCAGTTCAACAAGCAGTTATGTTGATGTGTTTCTGTGGCCTATGCTCAAAAAAAAAAAAAGTTTAAAGAAACCAAAAAGTTCTCCATCCTTTTTTGGGGGGCAGGGGGGGAATTGACTGGATTTTTTTGGTTATTTTTTGCTTTGCTTTATTTGTTTGTATTGGGAAAAGATGGAAGAGAAGGGAGTGTTGAAAAGTAGATGGTAAGAATAGTTTGAGTCATGCAGGCTTACATTCTTGATTTGTTTCAAACTACCAACCATTCTGCTTTGGTATCTTTTTCAAGTTGCTGATGCTGTTACTAGAAATGTTGTTATGTTAGATAATAAATAGTTTATAGTACTGGAGTAGGAAGCTAATGTCAAAGTTATCTGAAAAGGAAAATGCTGCTTTTCATTTAATTGTTGATCTGGGGGGGAGGAAATGACTCACAAACTTAATTTTTTTGTTTACTAAAAATAAAAAAGTCTTGAAGGTCTTGCTTGTTTTTCTGAAGACACATGAGAGTGTGAAAGTATGAGGAGAAAACCATAATCTGATTTTTTTTTCCTTTTTTTTTTTTTTTAATATTGCTTGTATCTACATTTCTGCTAGCTTACAAGAATTTGTGAAGGACGCTGGAAATTACAGCAAGAAAATAGTGGATGATCTTCTGGACCAGATCACTAGTGGAGATCATTCCAAAATTATTTATCAGCTAAAGCAGGTGGGTCTCTGATGTACTGAAATGTCACAGGTTCATCAAAACAAGGATGGACATGGCTGTTTTTAATGTGGTTTGAGATGCTTTGTTTTCCAGTGTCAGTTTAAGTTGTCCCTACCCCCAGTCCTCCCCCTTCTCACCTTCGTCGGTTGTGCAGGCTTAGCTGTTTGTGCACCCGTGTGGTGAACCAAATTAGAAACTGAATCAGCTGAGAATTACTTTTTTTTTTTTTTTTTGGGGGACTCCCGAAAGGAAGAGGCAGGGGAGTGAAACATAGGGGTGGGACCAACCAACTGAGGGCTACTGTATCTGCTTCTGAGTTGTATTGCAACGCTTATTTTAAGTTTTTCTTTTATTTGTTCGAACGCAAAATACCTTCTTTGTGGAAGGATTTATTGTTTGGGGCATTGAAATGGTGTTACAGAGTAGAATCATATCACTTTACTGGTACCTATACCTAACAATGCTAACTTTTAAATTCATGTGATATGTTTAAAGGAAAAAGTTTAACTTATTTCCAAAAAACAATTTTTCTGAGAGATTCGTACTAAGACGGGAGAGGAGTTTTCCCCAGAAGTGTATATAATAGTAATGGGTAACAGTGTTTGCGTTCCCAGGACAAAATTGCAAAATCATGTTTCATGTTATCTGCACTCTGAAAAACACTGTTTGACATAATTGCCTGCTGTTTAAAATGGTGATGTTATGAGTGATTCTAGAAGAAAGAAAAGTGGGAATAAAAGAGGAGGAATGGTACTCAGACAGGTGGCAATGAGATCATGCTAACCTCTGCAGTCCTAGAAATTGGATAGAGTGGGTAGTGTATGGGGAAAAGGAGACAACAGACAGAAAAATATTGAGCACCCTTGAGAATTTTCTGGGTATTTTTGAATTGTCTTTACTGGAGACAGTCTGTATATGAAACATGATCCCTAGAAGGAAGAAAAATGCAAAGGATTAGATTAAAAAGTCTTCTAAAATAACATTTTAAATGCTCTTCTATATGTGAAAATATGTGTATGCAAAGACTTAGCTTAAAAATAAAACACACGCCTGAACACTTTTGCTACCTTGTTGCATGAAAGGCAAATAAGAAGAATTTCTTGAACATTTTTCAAATGGTCAGTGGCTGTTTACACTTAAAAGATTGTTCAGCTGTGGCATATGTGAATGTATATAGATTTTGTGCAGTTGAATGTGTTTCACTAGTGATGTGCCATGATGTTTTATGCTGTTACATTTGAAAAAGAAATAATATCTCTACAAGTGCAGCTTTAAATGATTGGGTGTCAGAAGTTGCTATATTAATGACTAAGATATTGCACTTGAACAAAAGTTCAAGGGCAGAAGAAATAGCATAAGAGAATTCAAACATTAGTTAAAATGGATAATAGTAAAATATTTCAAAACAGCACACATTACGTTGTAATTGCATTACAGATACGTGAAAAACATTAGATGTCTTTTTGCTTCGGTTTATATGAGAAGTTTGAATATAGTTGATATTATATGAAAGAGACCTTTTGCCTATATTGAAAAATGTAATTGGTAATGTTATTTCTTCCCAGAGGCGAAACATTCCGGTAAAACCACTGGATGAAGTTAAAGTAAGTTATACTGATACTTAGTCTTTTGTTACTGGGAAAAAATGTCTTATTTTAGAGAACGTTACGTTCTCTGGGCTTCCAACGTTCAAATTTCCAATTTTATTTAATGTGCATCTGTTTTACAAGAAAAGATTGATAAATAAAGTTTATATAGTTTTTTTTTTAAAAAGGATACTAGCCTCGCTAATTCAAAATTAATTGTTTATGTGAACGTATATGGTGATCCATTACAGAAGAACTAGTCTTAATTGTATTTATTTTTTAATTTTTAAAGACCTATGCTAACATCGCAAAGCGGGTTAGTGTTCTATGGTAGCCTAAAATCTGATCACAGTGAACTAGTCGATTACACAAATTAAGAGCATTCCTAATAAACATTAGTACAAGCTGTAAAATGGTAAGAACTAACATATGATTTGGTGCCTTAGGTTCTGCCAGTTCTCATAAAAGAAGAACACAAGTTGCGGAATACCTGTCCGGATTCTTCCAAACAGATAATGGTAAAATGGTTTGTGTGTAGAAAAGGGGAGTGTTGTGTACACTCATTTTGTTTCAGTGCGTGGATATGCATGTTCTGAGGTAGAGGATTAAAATTTTAGTATCTGGAGTAAGTTTCCAATACTTAAAATGTACTCTCTGACATTCAGTCTGTTTTGGTTGGTGGCTTTGTTTGTCCTGTTGTTCTGTATTCAGAACATTGTATGGTTTACTTCAGCATGCAGAACAACATTGTATGGCTTAATTCAGCATGCATAAGCTAAATCTCAGAGGCAGAAAGAACAGCTAGGACTCTGAAAGATTGTTGATCTGGTGGTGATGAATATCGGAGGTCTATCCTGCTGTAAAAGTGGAGAGAAAAAAAGTCATTATTTACCAGTTTTTCCACATACCTAGAAAATGTCTGTTAGAAAATAGGGGTAAATGGAATACATATCTTTCTCTACAGCTACTAATCAGCAAATCTTCCTTTAAGTGGGACAAGTGTTATCTTGCAAATTATTTGTAACAACGGAGGATAAGCATGACAGCATTCCATGGCAGTTCACACAAAAGTTGTAACTACATTGTAGAGGCCAGTAAAATTATACTTTTATGAATATTTTATGCATGTTTTGTAGGGAGGTTTGTATTTCTTTAGAAGGTGACCAGTCAAGCTAAATGATGAAAGTACTCAGTTATTTTTTAGAAATATAAAATAAAAATACCTGGTTGTATCATATACTGCCTGTCCTATTGCTGCCTCTGGTATATGCACCTTTAGAGAATTCTGATAGAATGTGTTTTGCAACTTAACAGCTTATGCTTTGGTCTCTTCCTTTTTTTGCCATTACATAGAAGTATTGCAGCGGATATGGAAGAAATGAGATGGTTGTAGTGCAGCCTGTATTTCATTGTCCAAAAGCGTAGAGATAATATTTACTAGAGTCCAACTCCGCATGACATTGTCTAGAATAAGGAGGTCTGTCTTACTGGCTTTATGAATTATTTGCTAAAACTTTCAGTACATCCACTATTATATTGGGAAGGTGAGGGGAGCAGGAGTTCTGTGAGTGGTTGACAGGAGGGATACTGATAACTCTTCCCCTGGCCTTTTGCTGTGGGACAGGGATGAACTGGGCATGTAGTTGAGTTCCAGTGGATTTGATAATGTTGGTTTCAGCAGTCTGGATGATTTAGGTGAAAGATTTAGACCACCTTGCAGATTCTTTCCTGGACCTTTGTCGTTCTAATGATATGATATGTCCTGGAACCATATCTGAAGTGCCTGTGAGCTGCAGGTTGGCCAAGCTTGGTCTAGGAAGTTCCAGTTTCAGGTATTGGTGCTGCACATTCTTGATAGCGTGGATCCAAGCATTGACCTTGAACTGTTAGTTACTGTGATAACTTGTCACTCTTGTTGGTTTAAGCCTTCCCATTTCTTATATTTTAATTAGGTTGGAGAATCTGCTGGAGACAATAATGCTTCTGACTTGGACTTTCTCTCTATGAAACCATATTCAGATGTATCTCTTGATATATCCATGTTAAGTTCATTAGGTAAGTAATTAAATATGCAAGCTGTCAATTATAGTTTAGTTGTACCATTTAGTCAGAGTAACAGCTGGATTTGCTAAGAATGAGTACTCAAAGTGGTAATAATTCTAAACTCAATGTAAATAAAAGTCTGTGGCTGTTACAAGGGAAACAGAACCTTGGTCCATTTTTCCTTTGAGTCGCCCCTGTGCTAGCCAAGCTAACTTTTTCTGTCTTGAGGGGAAAGAAGTATTCACTCATCACAAGTATGAAAGCTTTATTTTTTTTTTTATGCATTCCTAGTAATGTAATTTTAGGAATCAGTGCGGAGCTGTGACTCAGAACTGTTTTTGCTTTGTATACATACTGGTTTTTGAAATAACTGTTGGGAAGTAAATAGTAAGTATATCCACCTCAGTTATAGCACCACTTGAAATGACCCAAAATAACAATAAAAAAAAAAAATCGGGTACTAGAAAGACTAGCTTCAAAGAGGCGGACGGTTTTGGATTGTTGTTTCAAACACGTGTTGTTTATAGACATTCTTCTTTAAATACAAAAAAAAAGTTTCCATTTTTGCAGGCTGCTGAACTGGTCAAATGTCTTCAAAAAGACACAAAGTCATCACAAAGTTAACTATTGATCGTGCTTTAAGATGCCTTTAATTCAGTACATGAAAGATACCAAACCATCTATTAAAAAACATAAGCAAGGTTACCGAAAGCTCTAAGAATGTTTGTACAGATTTTTCCTATGGATGTAGTAGTGTTCCAAAAGCAAATGTAAACTATGATCATGCTGTCACATACTAATTTTATTGCAATTCAATAAATTCTTAAATGAATATACATCTATTTCATAGATAATGTTATGACTTATCACTCTTGCTATGAATTTTTTGCTACATTGAAAGCTGCTCATATTTTTCTTTTAAGACCTGTGGGTGGTCTTTCTATAAATAATCATATTTCCAGAATACTTAGGTTCTAGAGAGAGATTAAGGCTCATCACAGTTCTTACAAAGTTGGCAAGCTCTATATTGAAGATAGACCAAAAAGAAGTAAAATAATTTATTTTTTCCTATTTTCCTATTTTTTTTAACCCTTCAGATGAAAGAACATCATATGGCACATACTTCCAGTTGATTAAAGTTCTGAACTTTCTTTGGCTTGTAAAATGAGCCTGTAAAATTTTACACTGTAAAATGAGTACAGTTGGAAAAGATGCTTTTTTTTTTTTTTTTTTAAAACCTTCCATGATGGAGATTTCTCAGCCTCCCTAGCTGACGTGTTCAATTTTAACTGTATTTTAGGTTAGATATTTAAGTAACTCATTTACTAACTTCCTCTCTCTTACCGCAAGCTAAACTTACTATTTCTTGTCTGCAGCTTGACAGATCAGCAAGACAAATTAAGCTTATATAGCTTTTAAATCCTGGGAAAATTAGAAAAAAAATCAGTTCAGTTTCAGCCTTTCCTATGGCGCTGTCCTGCATCTCTCAGTTTCTCCAAATGCATTTCACCTTGCATTTCCTGGAAGACAGATATGCAGCTGATGCCCTTTAGAAATATCAAGGAAAGTACAAGATTCAGCTCTTTTGTGCAATAGGCAACACTTTTGTTTGTTTATTGTGACTTGGCAATTCATGACTCAATTCATGTCTGTTAATTACTGTTTTTGTTTGGAACACTTAGGAAAGGTGAAGAAGGAGCTGGATCATGATGATAACCATTTACATTTGGATGAAACAACTAAGCTGCTGCAGGACCTCCACGAGGCTCAAGCTGACAGAGTGGGATCCCGGCCATCATCCAATCTGAGCTCCCTCTCCAATACCTCTGAAAGAGACCAGCATCATCTTGGTAAAGTTAATTGCGTCACAGAAGTTGCAATATTTCTGCTATAATTGAAATTACCTGGAAACTTACCTTTTAACTTGCATAAATCTTTACATGAAACTACTCTTATTAAACAGTGTGCAGACTGCAGGATCTCTTATTAATTTTTAAGTATGAGTGATAAGGGCAACCAAGAAAGCATACTTTTGGTCTGTGGAAATAAAAAACACTAATTCTAGTTAGTTACTTCAGATTAAGTGTGATTGATGTAATTGTGAGGTCAATTGATATTTGGCAGACTACAACATGTGCTTGTATTTTATGCTGCTAAGGAGTAGATTATGTTTATTTTACTTCCACACAGTTATATGCACCAGGTAGCAGATGGGATTCTGCAATTGTCAACTGTAAACCAGAGATTCAGTCATAAAACAGGATTATAGGGTAGCATGCCACTTCATAATTTGGTACCGTTTCTGAGAAGGTAGGAGATACGGTTTGGATAATATTAAGTTAGATTTTTTTCAGTTTGGAGTAAAATAATGTCTACTTTTTGAAAAAGGATCTAAATTACTAAGGAATCCTGTGGCTTCTTTTTCAAGAATCTCCTAACTGTTTAAGTATCATTTAAATGTCTGTGTTGCTCAAAAAGACTGGAAAGAACATATTAAATTACCATGCTGTTTATATATAATCTCTTGCCAGTAATTTTTTTTTGTACTTTTAAAGGGTCTTCTTTTCTCTTTCTTTCATTTTCCACAGGAAGCCCCTCTCATCTGAGTGTTGGAGAACAACAAGACATGGTTCATGATCCCTATGAATTTCTTCAGTCTCCAGAAACCTCAAATGCTACTACTAACTAATCTGACATGTACTATAGATATTTTGTATACTAACTGTATAATTTTTTTATAAAGTTTTTGTCCATGGCAAAAACCTTGATTTTGTCCTCTTTTGTATGAGGATTGCTGTTTAATATCGTACACGTTGGATTAAACAAAGAAAAAAGGCCTACCTAATATATCATGTTGTTAGCAATGTACCAAAAACTGCTTTTGTTTTTTGTTTTGTTTTTTTCCTAGTTGTGTGTGAGTTTTTACTGAAAAACAAGCGATTATGTGATAGAAAACTTTGTGTTTTGTAAAAACTAAAAAGTGTTCATTTTTTTCTATTATCACAGCAGTAGTCATGAAATGTTTCTAGTAGAACATGTATCAATTCTGTTTGGGGGTTAACTTGAACATCCTGAAGGAGGAATGTCTTATTTCAGCGGTGGCAGAACATGAACTGTGGTTATTGTTGTGTTTCCCATCTCTTAACCATAATAATTAAAATGCTCACTATGAAAATTTTACCCTGGATCAAAAAAAGTAAGGTTTTATGATCCCTTTTGTGTATTGAAACTCAAAGGAAAATATACTCATTTTTAATTTCATATGTATGTTTACTTGGATAAGAAAATACTGGATAAGGTGTGCTTTTCAGTAATTTTAAAATGAAAATTTTATAATTCAGTCCTGACATAAATGGGTTGGGGTTTTTTTGTACCATTAATATGTGGAAGCTGAACAAATGTTATGAATTCACAATTTTTGTAAATATTACCTTAATAAAAATCATACAGAACCACTTTTGATGTTTGAAAATATCTTGTTCTTATCAGGAGAAAATTTGCTTCCTCATCTTTATGAAGCCTGATATAATAGGAACTTTTGGTCTAAGTTGCCGTGCTGCTGCAAAATGTATATTTCATCATGCTAAATGTAGCTGTAAACAAAATTAACTCTGAATTTCCGAGAACCACCAAGGAAGTTTGTCAGATAACTGAGATCAAAGTCTTGATAAAGTGTAATTTGTTGTCTGGACTGTCTTTCTCCGTCGTGATGCCTCCTCCCTGCTCCCCCACCTCCCTGCTCTTTAAGGATATGTGTTTTCTGTTTGGCTGTTCAATGTATTAAATGTAGTTTTATGTAGATTATTAAAGGACTTCAGCTACCGTACTGGCATATGGAATGACTGCCCTTTCCCTTCTATACGCTGTAGCACGCCCTTTCTGTTGCCGCAAGTCATCCATTGTGTTAGACAGGAAAAGTCAGGATGGCAACAGCTGGAGGGGGCCAGAGGAAAACTGTTAGAGGTCATAGCAGAGACAAGAACATGCTCATCACATGAAGTACTGGGAGAGTTTATATAAATATGTAAATATTCTTAAAAATATGTAATTATATTACATATTTGTATATATTTATATATGTGTATATATATTCCTAAATGAAAATGGGTTTTGCCGGGCATGATTTTTTTTGAACTTGGAGCAGAGATTTGGTAGAAAATAATTCATGGGTGGTTTTTGGAGAGTCAAACTAAATGCAAATATTACTGTAGGGTAGGTTTTGTGTAGTAATGGAGGTTCAGGTTTGTGAGATTAAATGTTTTAATATTTACATTTAGATTACCATTCAGATGCCACCCTCTTCCCCCAAACCCCCCCAACCTTCACTGTTAGGCTACTAGAACTAATCTGTGCCAGCCTTAAAGGACTGGATTCTAGGCTGGGTGAGTGCCTTGCTTAAAAATTTTCTTACAGCAAGACGTGAATAAAGGAGAATATGAAATCAGTTAAGAGCATCTTTGCAATCAGGAGGACCATGTTTTATCAGAAGATAATTTCTTTCTCTTTGTGTTTTTACTTGGGAGTTTAAAAGTAATTACTGATTAGCAATAAACGTACTGTGAGGATAATATTAAAAAAAGTGTGCTACTTCCTCTTTGTTCTGATACAAACAGTAAAATGACTGGCATATGTGTAAACATACCCCACTTTGCGTTCACCGGACAGCTGAATGCATCTGATCAGAGGTTGTGATTTTGTTACTTTTTTATGTATGAGTGAGAATCAACTTTCTAATAAGAATAACTGTAACCTGTATGACTGTAAGTAAATTTTGAGCATTTTCCAAGGCAGAATAAAATTTTCCAGTCTGCATTTTAAGAGTATTAACAAACATTTGCTTAATAATCATGTAAATATTGCTGTATATTTTTATAATGATACATAAGCCTGCTTCTGGCAGCACAAGGAAAGATTCTCTGAAGCACCTATTTCTTATATTTTCATATGATGGACTTAGAGTCTGAGCTACATACTTCATCTTCCTGCACTAAGGTCTTTAACACTGTGCATCGAGAAAAGTTCTTATTAAGTCTGATGATAAAGATGTATACATAGGGCATCATTTTTATTAATTCCCCACAGGCTGTAATATATACATATAATGAAATATATTTCTGTTTTATTTTATAGGGTTTTCTTTTGCTGGTGAAGAATAACCCTGCAGGAATGAGTCCAAATAAGACAGAGAAACAATTTCTGTGGACAAAAGCAATATCTGAATTGTTGACCAGAGGCACAAGATTTTCTTTATAAGCCCAAAAGCTTTCCATAAATCCACAATGGGAGTTATGCACAGCTTGAGAGAGCAACTTGATAGAAAGGATTCTAATTTCATGCATGACCAGCCCTAAAAAGCTGGGTGTAATATCAATATCACTATTTGCTTTAAAATGACAATAAGTATGAAATGGATTAATCCTTCAAGGAGGCAGAAACTCCCCCTTGGTTCAGTGCTTTGCTTTGTAGGTACATCCCGGGTATTTTTGCATCCAGCTCCTTGCACGTTAACTGCAAATAATTCCTCAGGCTTCAGCCATGACTTTAAAACAATGTTTCTCAATTTTGCATATTGAATGTTGGCACGGGGAGGGGGCAAAACCTTGAGGATTTTTGTAGATCTCCCTCATTCTGAGCTTCACTGTCCACATGTCATGGTGATGCACCAGAGTTTGCATCTGCACTATTAAAAAGTTTTGCTATTGTGTGTGTTTGAGCTCTTCACGTGCTTCTCCCCACTCCCCCAAGTATTTCTGGATATAACATCCTTAATATAAGCTCCTTCAGCAACAGCTGCTCTTAAGTCTACAAAGCATCCAGTGAAAGTGAAAAGGATAGCACAAGGGCTCCAGGGCCCACATGTCCTTCCCCAGAAAGGTGAAAGGCAGAAGTTGCCTCTTTTTCAAAGAGCAATTTTTGCCAGCTTTAAAGTGCTCTTGGAACTGCAGGAATTTGAATTTGTGGGAATGCGGGAGCTTGAATTTGGGCCTGAATTCCATTTGCCTGACCAGTCTTGGCTTTTCCTGTACTACACTTATCATGCTCTTGTGAACAGGTTGTCAGGATAACTGCTCTCCCAGTCCTTCCTCACCTGGCAATTCCTAGGAACCACGCTCCACAGAGGAGCTCTCCCTTCCACTGGCTAGAAGCTGGCCTTGCTCTGGCTCATCCTTGGCCCTCAGGGTGGATATGTGAAAAGTTATTAACTGGGGCTACTGGGGGGAGGGGGTGCCAAGATCTCCTATTTGCTAGCAGATACTTAAACCACGTAAGCTGAAGTGTCCATTACCTCTGGGCCCCCTGCAGCAAAGGAGGCCACCAGACAAGACTTGGAAGAAAAAGTCCTCACTCATAAGGATTTCCCTTGAAGTGAGGCTTTTTGGAGACCTAGCAAGTGCTTTGTCTTAGGTAGCAGAGTTGAATTTCTTTCCATGAACGTGGAGGCAACAATCCTCATCAAGAGCAACTAAACCAGCTTCTTCCCACCCTTTCTGAGTTTCCTGCCCCTTTTGTTGAAAAAGTGATGGCTCCTCCCAGGCAGGAGGCATGGTGCTCCTTCCTTTGCTCCCTCTGCCTTTGCGAGTTGAGAAGCAACACTGAGGACATGTCTGGGTGAAGGAAGGAGACCTTTGAAAGAGTCAGTATCTCCCCCCCTCTCCCCCCCGCCCAGCAGTCACCACTTCTTCTGGCTCAAGAGGTGTCAGAGGAGAAAAAAATACTGCAGGTGTTGGTGGAGGTGAAAGCTGGAGCAAAAATGGAACTGCCTTGATCTCAGTAGCCATGAAGAAAGTTGCAGGCCAGCTTATGAAGGGTAGAGACTGTTGACGCTCATCCTCCTCCCTCTTCCAGTAAAGCAGGAGAAGCATGTGGCCATCTGTAGCAACTTCTTTGTGTAAGAGTCTTGCCTGACTCTTGGCACCTTCTCAGATAAACTGTGTTTGATTATGGCTGTAGGGAAATCTTATGTTTATAAGAGCTGCTAAAGGGATATCTTGGAGTAGCTCTTTCCACAGTCTGTGGTCTTTTTCAGTTTTATTGCGAGTCTCATGTAGTAAAGATTGATTTAAATTAGAAGGGAGCAATTCATCTTTTTTGCTGAAGACACAATGGGGAAATGGACTGAGAGAAATGTGTTCATTCCCTTCTTCTTGTAGGGGTGGTGATGACAGTATGGGTGATGGTACACGGGAAAGCTTTTATCCTGCACAAAGCCTCTTAAGTTATTAAATCTGATTAGATGAGATGTTGTTCTTTGACACCTACCTATTGAAAACTAATTTCTCCCTTGGAGCTTCCTCCAAGATAACTGTGAAAACATTTGAGTTTCTGACTTTCCTCCTGAATGAGCTTAGTTCATAGCTCAGCAGCCTGACTGCTTGAAGTAGTCATCTCATTTGTCACAAATCATTAGTTCTACTCTCACAAGTGAAGCTGTGTGAACCTAGATTTCTTGCATCTAATCCCAATTCCAGTATGTTCTTTATTACCTGTGTGGTAGTGGTGGTGGTTTCAAGTAGACCATTCCACAAATTTCAGCTTTCAAGTCAATTCAGATTGACTGGGGAGGGGTTATCCTGTAATTCCCTTCTGAGATGGGTCTGTTATCTTCAGTTTCTGCTCTCCCCTACCAGTGCTTGTTTGCAGATACACGAGTTTCTGCAGACTTTAGAGACTTGACAGACATTCTTCTATAAAAAATAAATCTGAATGATTTAGAAAGTTTGCATTCTCCATGAGAAAGTTAAATAATTCATAATTTGCTTTTAGGAATTTGGTAATCCAGTCTTGAGGGGATTTTTTTGCCTCCGCCAGAGAAGTCTCAGCGTTTTCTCTCATCTTAGTTTCTAAAAAGATAAGATTAGAGAAACTTTCCACTATTTAAGGGTAGTTACTTAAAAGGTGTTTCAATACTGGGAAATAGGAGCAGCCAAGCCACTCTGACAAAGGGTATTCACTGCCTTTAACAGATGCAACTCTTCTAGGTTCCTTGTTCTTTTACTTGGAATAAATTACCAGGGTGCAGTGCTTCTTTCTAAAACTCAAGAAATGGGATGGGCCTGGGCTATACAGTTCACCAACTGAGGGACATAATGTGCCAGTCCAAACATTTTCTCTGTGGAGGGAAATTTCATGTTCAGCTAGTCTGTGGAGTCAATTGGGTTTTCACCCCGACTGCTTGCACATCTTGATCAGGAGGCCACGTAGGGTAGAGAGAAAACCTATGAAGGCAGATTTCTGCTGTGTACTCCTGTCCTGACAATAGACTGTACGAGGAATTGTATTAGTCATTTAAAGAAGCATCTCTCTGACATCTTTGGACTATGGCAGCAAATCCTGAGCAAGTGAGCCAGTTCAATGGCTTGCTGCAGCTGAGGGAGGTCACACCACTCATCCTTCGCTGCTCCACTGTGAAGGATACCTCCTTCACTGCTCCACCTCTTCAGACTCTCCCAGGAACCCTTTATACTTCTCAGGACAGCAGAAAAACAAAACCTGGCAAGAACTGGATAGTTTTCTACTGTCTTAGAGGGTTGAATTTGCTTGTCTGCGTGGTAAAGTCTGATAACTGCTGAAGGTGACACAAGACAAGGAGGTAAGGAAGGAATTCCAGTTTCTAGAAGAAGTGAGCTTCAGTTTAAAGGCACATAGTGTGCCTAGAGCTGGCTGCAGATGTTTTTGCAGGGTAAGAAATACTGAACTTTGCAGCCAAAGTGTCAACCCTGGCCTCCTTTGCTTCTTTTTGTGAAAAAAGTTGGACCTCCAGCAATCGAAGAGAATAGGCAGCTTAGTAGCAGTGACTGCTGGTCTGAGAAGAAGCTGGATCTCCTTCTCTACCATAATAGTCACCCCATATATACTCATCTCTCCCTTGATGCTAGCAGCCAGGTGGACTCTGGTATATGCAAAACAAGCAAGCAGAGCCAGGGCAACTTGAGTTGCCAGGGTGCTGTCATGGGCATGGGCTGCATATGCCCACTGCCTCCATCTGGATGCATGTAAGGTAAACCCAAAAAACTTAATCCTGATTAGCTTTCTAATGAGCCTCTTGTATAGTAGAAGTCTTTTCATATTTTTATTCACCAGGAGAGTTTTACATTAACGGGAAGTCATGCTAGGACATGAGCACTGTGGTTATTAAAATTGCTCAAGACAAGAACTAAGAGTGGCCAGAACATTTTTGTTCCTCTAAATATAGGCATACTGTGATGCCTAAAGTTTACTTTGGTCTGAAAAATAAGCTTCTAAATGTGGTGTCAGTAGGTTCTCTTAATGCTGACTCCCTGACTTATTTCTGACTTAATTTGTAAATATTTTCTTTGTCAGCTGTACCTTCCTGATGTCAAAAAGGACTTCTTGCTATTCTAATTGCATGTTTGCCTGTATGAGCAAGACTGTCTACGTGATCGTTTTTCCTCTTTTGAGGAGAAGGAGATATTCTGAGAAAACAAATAGCAGTTTAAGCAGAAAGCTACAACTCTTTTACCTTTCTCAAACTGCTATGGGAGCCTACTAAAGTGGATACAAGGAGGATACAAACGAAACACGCCCAGCATCCAAAGGGCAGAGCAGAAGCACAAGGTTGCCCTAAGAAGCCAAAAGCTGCAGTGGGAGCAAGCGGCTCACGCCAAGGAGGATGCTGCCCTATCTTCAATACGTGTTCTTCTTCCAGAATTGTTTAGCTAGTAAAACCCTGAAAAAATCTTTCTTGTTGTGGTGAAACTATCTTTGAAGTGATGAAAAAATAAATAAATAAATAAATAAATTCCCCAAGATACAAAAGAGAACTCAAATGTGTGGAGGACTGGATTTGACAGTCTGTGAAAAGCTGGAAATGAGTGGAGTGAAAAGCTTTTCCTTTCCTCCTGAGATACTGGGGGAGCGGAGTTTGACTGGGATTAAACAGGGAGAAGTCAGTGCACTAACAAAAGTCAGAAAAATGTGAGCAGCATCTCAGCATTCACTCTGAAGGAGGGTGGAGGAAATGTGCTGTAATGCAGAGCAGGGCAGTGGGGTGGAGGAGGAAGACATAATCAACACATTGCTATTCTGCTCAGAGGTGCTGAAATCAAGATGAAACAAAGCTTACAAAAGGCAAAATCAGAGGACGATCATATGGCATACATGCCGATAAGCTGCGTCATTGTCTGTACTTTGATTTGGAGAAAAGAGCAGTGCTTTTATTTACTGGCTTTGTCCATGTAGCCGACACTGCCACGTTTGGAGCTGTTACAGAGACGTGAACACAGAGCATAGCACTTGTGTGTGTCTCATTGGCTAATTTGGCATGCTGTCTTGCAGTTTGACAGCAGCATTCTCTTCTTGATCACAGTTAATTTGACCAGCTGAAGTCATATGATTACTGCTTGATTAATCTGACAAACAAACCTGTCAGAGCATTACTTTGACATGAAATGTTATTCTTTTAGTGAGGTTGCTATGAAGTCTGAAAGTTTTCATAACTTAAGCACATGTCCTTATACAATTTTGGTTCTCCAAGTTGTCCCTATCTGTAGAATTTTTTTTGCTGACAAATTCATAGATTTCTCTCTCCAATTATTTTTTTAATGCATGTACTGATTTAGGGTATGATCCTATGCATGAATCAATGAAGGTAGGTACAACAATTGCAGATAGGAGTTGTTTTGTGGTGCCCAGAAAGAGGTAACCTAAAGGGGGCCTGTGATGTAGAAATCACTGAGCACCCATCTTCTGAAAAGCATGATTCTCTTCAAGAGAAACATATAAACTTACCAGCTGCTCCTGGAAATTTTGACCTACAGGAAATTACTTCTGGGAAGCTGAAAACTTCCAGTGAGATTTATTGAAAAATACTTCTAAAATCTTTGATATAGAAATATAGGGGGAGGCATGGATTAGATCTTAAAATGCCCGTTCTGTGTCTTGCTGCTTTAATTTTATATTCCTGTGGTCCTCTTTTTGGAGTGGGTCACTTTATTCTGTGAGCTCTGTGAGCGTAGGCTATGACCATACAACCTCTGCTGGCTACAGAGGTTATATCTTCCAACTGCTGCCACTGAGCCTCAGCTCTGCTGATAAAACTGCCAATGTGGTCACTTTGCAAGCTGTTTGTCAAAACCAAGCTATTCTGGCATGGGTACAGCTGGACTTGACTGGCCTCCACAGCCTTCTCTGTAAGCTGTTTCTGCCCCACTTGTTCATTCTTGCTGTACCCAAAAACCTTTGGGTTACACCAGCAGAACTGCTTGTTACTTGGCTCTTTTGTATGCTTGTGTTTTTAATAGCTCTCTTAATTGGATTTGAAGGAAGAGGTCTGGATTTTGAAAAGTCTTACTACAAAATGTTAGGTTACATAATTAAAGGCTCATCTCCACGAATAGCAAGGATTGCAGAGGAACCCCGGTAACCTAAGCACAGAAACAGAGCACCCTGACCCAGCTGCTCCCAGGGCATCAGGGGAGAGCACGCAGCCCCTTGTCCACATGGGAAACCCACCTCCGTGAGTCAACGGGAGCAGCTCTCTGGATCGCTTTCCAGACTGAGGAGGGTAACGGCCTGCAGGGGTATGGGACTCACTATGGGATGCTGGGCAAGAGCATCTTTGTTTTGTACAAGACTTGTTATGGAATAGGCAGGGCAGGAACCACAGGTGGGGAAAGGGAGGGATCGCGGTGGTTTGGGGAGGAGCAAGCATGGGAAAATAGAGGGATAAGGGGATAAAAAGGTCCAGGCATGTGTAAAGACTTGCTGGTCAGTACACTTTTCTGGCCATGCCCTGAGCCTCCCCTCTGCGGTCCCTCCTGCCTTCTTATTAAACTTCATTTGTACCTGTTTTCCTGGGCGAGGGGGCTCTCTAGTCTGTGTGCATGTGTGTGTATGGCGGTTTAAGTGGCAGCGCGTGGAGTGGGGAGACGGGTGCTAGGGGCCTCTGTGTCTGTGGTGCCAGCACCTGGAGAGACAGGAGTGCATGAGAGGTCTGAGTGGCAGTAGCTGGGGAAGGGGCCAGGGGTCAGAGAGGACCATACCCCTGGAGTGCCAGCAGCTGAAGAGATCAGAGTGTGTACATACTGTGTGGGTACGTATGTCGGTGTGTAATTGCTAGCAGACATCAAGCTGGATTAGCTGGCTGGAAGGATAAGAGCCAAGCACTGGAGCAGCCAAAAGGGTGGGCTGGCTATTGGAGAGACCAGGGTTGTCTGGGAGGTGGCTCCTGGAGGGACCAGGAGGGCCAAGTCAGTGGATAGACTGCGAGGTTTGGGGGTTGGCTGACGGTAAGACCATAGGTCTGGACCAGCTACCAGAAAGACCCATTTGCATGTGTGTGTGTCTCCATGCGTGAGACACCTGGGAGATCAAGAGGTCAAGGGTCCAGCCACTGGATAGGCTGAGTGTGCAAGACCAGAGAGATCAACATTGTGTATATTTATAGACATGTATATATATTTTCAACTAACGGGCTTTCACCCTATAGTGAGAACATCTGTGGAAGATCTGGTGAGAAGCCAGGTGACTGGCAGAGTACATGATAACAGCCCCAGTGTGCTCTCTATGCACTGACTAAAACCTGGCAAGGCCGGACATGCATATTCCCTTTGGTACACAATGTCTAGCCGCTTCTCAACCAATAACTACTCATGGTTAGCACAGCCGACATAAGAAATAGTTCTAGCAGATTTAAGGGGCCCTTAGGATACAATAAATTGAGTCCCACCTAGGCATCTGACCTGTGCATCCAGCAGCCTGCCAATCAGCAATCCCTCCGCACAGTTCCCAGGGCTCCCTATGCAGCTGGGAGCATAAGTCCTTCATTAAATCTATCCTGTTTAACCTCTCATGAACTTTGAGTATCTCTCTGCGCTGGTATCTGACCCCAGCTTTCCCACATTGCAGTCACACACCCTAATCAGCTAGCGAGCATGAGGCTGTTGGTGCATGAGTGCCATGTTTTCCCTCTGTGTTGAGCTGTGTGGCTGGCTCATGCATGTGTGCCAATTAGGAATATGTGCTCAGCCCTCCTACTGGCTGGACTTGGAGACATACAGATGCAGCAGCCTTCACTCTTTCAGGCCACCAGATTCAGTAACCGCTAGCACACAGGCATACACACACACAAAAGGGTAAAAATTCTTGAGATAATTTGGGTCATAAGATGGTAGAGAGTGCTCACATGAGCACCTGGGGCAAATGATTTTTGAGGGAGGAAAGATATTATCTAGCAGAGGGCCTGTTACCAGCACCCAGTGGCAATAAATTTTTTAATCTAGCAGAGCCTAAAAGATGATGATCAGGCAAGGCATTGCCTACATCAACTGTTGTGACAAAGAAAGGCTACTTCACAAGAGAAGATGAGCCAGGAGATGAGGGTGACCACAGCAGCATCCTCACCAACCAGGGCACAATATCTGAACAGGGTGGGCAGAGCAAGTTGCTGATAACAGGTTTCTTGATAGTCCTAGACCAGGCAAGATAACAAAGCTGGTCCAGGGTCCATCCAGAGAGTCCAGTCAGGAGCAGCAGGAGACACTGTGAAGACAGATCTGGAAACAAGATGATGACATAAGTCCAAGACTCATCCAGGAAACATTGCCAAAGACAGGCTACATACAGCATAGATCTCAAGAGACATCCAGGAGATGAGCTGAAGGCAGGTGTATCTGTGATGTGGCCCAGGCCTGAGATTAAATGGAGCATCTGGACCCATGGGCAGATGATGTGAGGGGAGGGTCCAGGTGAGGCTGGTCAGGTCTATTAAGGTCTATTAGTGCATTCATGGCCCTGACACTGAGGTTAGTGAGAGCCTAGGGTGATTGCTAGTTGACAGAAGCTCTTTTCTCAAGTTTACCATGTTTGACATAGAGTAACTTGAGTTTTGATTGTAGAGATGACACAAAAATCAGTTGAAGGATCTAATTATTTTAAGTGTTGCCCCTGCACAAATAATTAAACTGAAGTTGCAGAGGCAGGTAAAAATGCAAGGGAGTTCTGGCTCAAGGGAGATCAGAACACAAAGCAGTACAATGGTTTTCTCTTCTGTTGAATTTCGTTCCTTCTCCCCAGGTTAAAAAGTTTAATGCAATTGAAGAATGCCTAGCTTAAGCACTGCAGTAACTGTCATTGTTATAGCCTGCACCTTTTCAAAGAGGTATTCTTTTTTAGATGTCTTAGCTGAGATTTATAATCCAGGGAGAGGAACTTTTGGCTGTAGGAGAGTCAGAGTGTGGTAGGGGATGGGGTACTAAGGTGAATGTTGGTAGGGAAGTTACTTACAATATCTCTAGAGAAAGAGCTGAGGAGAGATCTAGAAACGGGAAGCATGGGCATTACGTACGTGTGTGTGGAATGAATTCAGCTGTGTGTCAAACCTCTGCGCTCCTCAAAGGTTTAGCCTTCCACAAATCTACCAGAGCATCCCACTGTATTCTTAAAAGCCCCTGGGATTTTTTGATCACTACTTCCAGTGCTCTTGCATGTTTTTGTGTTGGTAAGTAATGTGGTAATCTTTTTCTAACTCTCACCAGTTTACTAGAATTGGCATTTGCTTTCTGTTCTCAAGATCTCTGCTTAGTAATCTGCTAAGCAATCAGCTTAAATGGCTGATCTGCTTAAAAATGCTTTTTTTGCAATGTGGACATGAGAGAAGTGAGCACACTTACAGTGCCCGTGTTTGGTATACGGCATATAGTGAATGTTCCTGGAAGTGGAAATACATTATTCCCATCCCAGCTCAGAAATGTCAGTTGGAGCTGTTTGGATGTGCTGCAGGAGAACCCCTGGCTGTTGGCTCTTAGTGAGGGTGCTTGTGCTTCTGTCAATGTTACTGAGGTGGTTTTAACAGCAAGCAGTAAGGGTTTTTCCCCTCTGTACACATAGCGTTTCCAGTGCAAAAAGCTCCAGGCTTTCCAGATCACTTTGCTGTGATGTATGCTGTCTTAGGGAGTTTCTGCTTTCAGATAGCTATTTGCATTGAGATTGGACAAGTGCAACTACTGTGACTACTTCAATATTACTTAATTCGCTAATTATAAGATGATAATTGCCTAGGCTGTTCTAGAGTTCATGGTATGACACAGAAGCAAAGGAAGAAGCTGGGATGAAGGAAGCTGAACATGAAAGCTTTTTGTTTCACTTGCACAGAGTGACTCAGAGCTGCATTCACCTAGACCCGTTGCTAGGCCTGCTAACCTGCTCTCTGAAGTTCAAAGCAAACACATAACTGTCTCACCAGATGAATGCTGAATAAAGTGATAAATACTGTGATAGAAAAATTGCTGTTTTGCTGCCACCTGATCTAGAGGGATTATTGGAGGTGATATGATTGCCAGATAAGGAATAAGACAGCAGCTCTTTTATGTCAAAAGTAATGAGCTTTGTTTTTCTTCTACCCTTTAATATCAGCTGTACTGGATAGGAATTAGGAGATCTCCTGGTATTGTAAGAAGAGCGATTCAAATTATGCATCCTGCAGGGTCAAACAGGCATTCCAGAGCAAGACCTCAACCAAGAAGCATAAGCAGGCCAAGGACGCAAGCAAGGACCCTCTGGTGGGACATCCTGGCTGAGACAGCGACATGTCACCCTTTGGGGCCGGGAGGAGGGTAGCTGCTGCAAGGGTCACTGCGAGGTGTCGGGCTGTGGGGGAGGGTCTGGGCGTGGCTGCGGCCCCGCCCCCCATTGTGAGGTGCGGTCCTGCCCACAATAGGAGGCGGCCGCCCACCGTCCCTGGTGCAGATGTCCCTGGTGGCGACGGTGGCCGAGCAGGAGCTGTGTCGGTCGGGCGACCGTCGCGGGAGCAGCGCCAGCCTGGGAGCCGCACGCTGTAAGAGCCGCTTCCTTCCCGCCTCGGCCCCGCGCGCCCACGGAGGCTGCAGGGAGCCCGGCTCGCGGCTCAGCCCGTGCGGCTCCAGCATGGCCCCGTGCGTGAGGTGGCCAGGGGGGCTCTGCGGCAACGAGGAGCCAGCAATGGGCTGGGCTGGGGGTGGGCTGTGCTCGGAGAGCCAGCAAGGGGCTCCGTGCCAAGGGGAGGCTCCTCTCCTCGGGGTTTGGGACCTTCTCCGGAGCCTGCCTCTTGCCTTCGGCCCGGGCTTGTGCTTGAGGGCGGCGGGGCAAAGTGTTGGCCGCCCCACGGCAGGAGGAGCAAGTGTGCTGGCAGAGGGCCCTGCTTGGCAGGGGCAGGGGAGCTGCCCTCTGTGGGGCCGAGCAGCAGTGTCCGCACGCGTGCGCGCGTGCCAGCCAGGCAGCGAGGGCAGGGGATGTGCGCGAGGGTCGTGCGCAAGCAAAGGAGCGGGTGGGGAGTGTTTTCCGGGGAGCAGGAGGGCAGAAGGGAGGCAGAAGCTGTTGCTGAGGAGGAGGGTCGGGGAGGGGCATGGTGGTCGGGGCCTAGCAAAGGGCAAAGCGTGCCGGTGCCAAAGAGGGGCGATGGTGGTGCCGGGAGGGTGGGTGGCCGTGGTGGGCGGGGGGTGGTGGCCTTTGCCTTTGTGGTGGAGTCGTGCGTGGGTGGAGGGAGGCTGCGGCTTGGCAAGAGCGCCCGGGGCCCTGCCTGGCCAAGCGCAGGCTGGTGTTGAGGCTGCTGAGGAGGGGCTGGTGTTTTCCCCGGGGTGGCTGGTGGGAGCTCAGGGCGTGCGGGAGGAAGGTGCTGGGAGCTCAGCGACCGCCTCAAGAGTGCCCCTCGGGGGCAGCAGGGCGGTGGTGCGGGTGCAGGTGCGGGTGCGGCAGGGAGCAGAGGGACGCCTGGGAGCTGGCGCCAACCGTCTCTTTCTGGTGGTAGGTGCTGTGTTGCTGGGCTTGCAGGCGGTGGAAAGCCAAGGGCGGGAGCGTGAAGGCAGGCGCCCGTGCCGAGCTCTCGC